AGCTGACAATTCTAACCTGTTTCAATGTTTCTTGCCATTGGAAAAGCTCTTCTTGACTGTGCTTTAATTCACTATGATCAGTAAAGCACTCATGTGGGAAAATAACTAAAAATAAATTTATTTGAACAGTACAGCAATTTTACAAAAAACTAAGACAAAATTAGACAGTGTAACTCCTGGGACCAGTGCTGTGGTGTAGTGAGTTAAAACCATAGCCTGTAGTGCTGGCATCCCGCAAGGATGGCAGTTTGAGTCCCAGTTGCTCCACTTTCAATCCAGCTCCCTGCTAATGTGCCCACATACTGAAGTGATTCAACCAGTACAGGGAGGATGCTTGTGGAATGGTGGCTGCGACTGAAAGCCACCTCACTGAGCTTGACACAATCCACTTCCTGCTCGTAGAGAAACTGCTTCCACACCTGCCAAATTGGAAAATTCAATGTAGAGTTTTAAAATCCATTGCCCACACATCTCTCATGTGCAATGAAGGCCTGATCTATAGGTATCTAAGGCGTGGGGTTGCTCTGGGATGGTTAATTTGTATGGGGACCTCAGCTGCCACAACTCCCATTTGCCCCTTTGTGTCCCAAGGATGGTGAATCTTACTGCAGGAAACCAAAAGGTCTTAACAGAAAACAGTTCCATGAGGGCCAGAATTCCTTCCTTGTGTTCAAGACTGGAAGCCTCACTGTGGAAGAAGGGAAGGAGAACACTCCTTGTAAAGTGAATCAGGGAGGGACTGCTCAAGTCTGTAGATAATGACCCTAATCTGCACCTGACATGGAGGACTCACCACTGGATGGCTGGGTCATAGAACAAACTGAGAATAGTAAAATCACCAGTGATATATGTATAAATTAGGGGTCAAGAGGAGAAGGAAAACACCAAGCAAATTCATTTAAATATAATTGCTTCTGATATAACCAGAGAATAAGCAGTGAAAGTCATTAGATAGGATGAAGAGAAAATATCCAGGAGTGCCAGGGAAATGGCTGCACTCCCTTTCACTTATTCATTACTGCCAATCCCATTTGCAGTGTGAGTAATTGTTTGGATGACTATTTCTTATGTTTAGAAAGTGCTTTTTTTAACTTATTTTTTCTCAACATATTGCTGCAGGAGTTCTCGTGTCAGTATTGCAAGAGTAGCAGGAGTCGTTTGTGGCTTCAATCACTTGGGTCTGTGTTTTCTCCCCAGGAAGTGTGGCAGATTCTTCTTTTCACTGGATGGATTTTTTTAGAGACAGCACAGCTCCTGTGTTATAGTGCTTCATGTTGCAGCTCTCTGTGTTACTGCTGTTTATGTTGCAGTCCTGGATGTTACAGCCTCTCCTCTGTCATTGTGTTGCAGCTTCTCCTCTCTGCAGTATTTGTTGAGGTGTATTGCAGTCTTCCCTGTTACAGTTTCTCTTCTTTGCTGGTTCTTTATCTTGCGATCATGAGCAATGAAACACATGGACAAGAGTGAGCCAAGGAGGTTTACTGAAAGCAGCAGAAAAAGTTCTCCAGCAGCCAACAGGGATTTCTCAGCAAGGGGCTGACCAAGCTGCTTCTCACGACTGTCTGGCTCAGATGTTTGTGCATTTCCAAAAGTGGAAGTTCACCTGATTGGTTGAGATGTATGCTTATGAGATGTTCTACATGTGTCACAAAGTCAGCAGAGTCTGAACTGTGACCAAACATGGAGCTAATGTTACGTAGGAAAATAAGGAGTGCGCTCAATCAGGTCCATGGTGGGCAGCACGGGGCAGATACAACATATGAAGATTACATTGTCTATTCTTCTCCTTTATCCCCTTCCCTGAGGGCTCCTGGAGTATATGTCACATAGGTTTCTTCCTTTCCTTTCCAGAGGTCCCTGTGTATCTTTACTCAAGGCTTTCAGTGCCCAGGTTGCACTAGTCTGCCGTTAATTGCTCAGGTTCTTGTCTCAAGGCCATAAAGAATTAGGAGCATGAATAAGGAAGAGTGTGTAAAGCAAAAATAGTTTATTTAACAAGATAAGAGTCGGAGAACTCAAGGGGCTTCCATAGCCTTGGAAACTCATGACTAGAGCCTAGGGAGATTACTGATGCCATAAATGGGAGTGTCAATTTGTAAAGTCAACAACAGGAGTCACTGTGCACTTACTCCTCATGTAGGATCTCTGTCCTTAATGTGCTGTACATTGAGGCTTAATGCTATAACGAGTACTCAAACAGTATATTTCACTTTGTGTTTCTATGGGGGTGCAAACTGTTGAAATCTTTACTTAATGTATACTAAACTGATCTTCTTTTTTTTTAAAAAAAGAAGAAATTATCAATTCCCAACTTGACTCTCACTGGGATTAAACATGACAATAGGTCTGATCTGATTTCATCATCATTTTAAAAATCATCTATTATTTTTCACTTTATGTTTCTTTGTGGGAGCAAACTGTTGAAATCTTTACTTAATGTATGATAAACTGATCTTTTGTATATAAAGAGAATTGAAAATGAATCCTCATGTGAATGGAAGGGAGAGGGATGGAAAGGGAGGTTGCGGTGGGAGGGACGTTATGGGGGGGAGCATGTATCCATAGCGTACTTTGAATTTATATCATAATAAAGTTTAAAAAAAGAAAAATGAAAAAAGTAGTTTATTTAAAAGTAAAAGAAAAAAAGTTCCTTGCATGCCTATAGGGAACCTTGAAGAAGAGCGTCATTGGGGTCTGATTGTCTAGTGGTTTACATAGGCTGTAAAAGGAGAATATCTCATGAAGGATGTTTTTGATTGCTTAATCAGGTGAATTGAGACTCAGTAAAGAAAACAGAAAACTTATGAAATTTCCCCCCTGGATGCATTAAGTTCTCAGCAGTTGAATCAGTTACAACAGTACAGCAGAACCTTGATTACAGGGAATAGCATACAACATTAACATCCTTCAGAGAAGCCAGTTGCTAGGCTTTCCTCAGGAACTCTGAGACTCATCACCAGATGACGTGGAAGGGGCCCTCTGGTATCTTTCTATCTAGCCAGGAATCTCTATCACCCAGAGAGGAATGGGGTACCATAAGTGGACCCATTGTGTGGTTACAACCTTTGCACTGGGTTCAGAGCTTCTGCATGGAAGATTCTGCACCCATGCAATAGAGAGGAACTGTATCCAGGCGTCCCTCCACACAGTGGATCAATGCCCTCCACTGCTGTCTGCTCAGGGAAATGTCTTTATGGAGATCACAGCCAAGTCTCTCCCTGAAGTGTTCCTATTCTGCCAGCCACTCTTCCTCTGATTAATCCCAGGAGCATCTCACTCTGGAGATACACATCCAGACCTTAAGTGGAGATGTGGGTGCCAAATCCTTTGAGGACATGGGATGAATCAGACCCCCTATAGAAAATGGGACACATCAGTAGCACATGAACAGAAGCCTCTCTGTCCTGCCCTAAGCAACACTATCTGTTATCCCAAGCCACCAGGTTGCAAATCTGAGGTACAATGTTTTTATTATTGTGTGAATTTATCCCAGTCCTCCAGGGAAGGCTAGTACCTGGGTGTGAATAGTGATGCAGTTGATATACATGGTTTGGGGCAGCCGGCTACATGGGAGACTTGTCAGTGTCCCCATATAGTCTTACTACTCAGACTAGCAGAAGTGCAGCGTCTCAGTGGCTGTCCAGGGTGATTGTTCAGCAAATGCCTGTGAAATGTGGACTCAGCCAGTCTGGATGAGCCCCGCCAGATGAAGTCTGAGCACGGGAAGCTCCAATCTAATCTCCTCCCCTTACTAAGGGCCGTGAAGTGCAGAAGGTGGCTTCTTTTCAGAGTCTGGGTCCTTCTTGTCCTGCCTCCCACTATTTTTGCTATGGCTTCATCTTTTCTCTATTGCAGAGACCCTGAGTGACAACAGCAGGTATGTTCATGGTTATTTACACAGGTGTCATCACAGATTCTTCCTCTCTGTCCCATGGCCACACCTGTATCCTCTGTGGAAAGAATGAGGGGTAGCTTGTCCAGGCCATATCTGAACCTGGACATCAAAGGTGATAGCATATAGAGGAGGGTTAGGAGCACATAAAGGGGTGAAATTGTTCTGCACAATAAAGTCCTGGAAGGGTTCAGGCCATGGGAAGGGAGAGAAATAGCCCCTTAGCTGGAACTCGAGCAGAGACAGAGAGGTTGTGAGACAAATGGTCCACAAGTTGTGAGGAAACAAAATGGGGCAGGCAGGGGAGAGAAGGGCGACTTGGGTGACATTGCGCCTGTCACAGACAGTACAGTGCTTGCAGTATAGGCTTTCAGGGGATCAATTCCACCTGACCCCAGATAAGATATGCCCATTTCCTCTGCTCCTCTCCTGGCACTGTATTCCCTCCCTGATTCCCTCTTTTCCCCCTCAGTTCCCAACTCCCTGCATGATTCCCACTTCACACATTCCAGAGTGGAGCCTGCCCTATTAAGCAGCTCACAATCAGACACAGCCTGTGGATTGGACACCCTCACAACACACCTGACGACCTGGCTCCTGCATTCAATATGGTCATTGGAGTTCTGTTCCATTAGTTGTGGCTGAATCACACTTGTTTCTCATAGCACAAGTTCCACAAAATTGTGGTTCCAATTCAGGGCAGTCATTTCCTCTTGCAATCAGGGGACACAATGCCCCAGCTAATAAACGATGCCCTAAACCCCATTCCAGCTCTTGAACTACTCCTCAGGTGTGTCTATCCCCCAAGACAAGCAGTGAGGTTGGAGAGGAGACTCATGGGTGTCCATTCAAATGGGTAATGGAAACTTCTTGGGTCCCTAAGTGACTCAGTAGTGCCTCTGACCGCTTCCTCAGATGAATGATGGAGGAGGTCTGATTGCACCCTCCACCGGAGTCTGAGCCCTCTTCCTGAGATGAATGATGGAGAAGGTCTGGTGAGAGGTGTGATTGCAACCTTCCCCTGAGTCTGAGAGCTCCTGCACGGAATGTTAGGGTGGAGGGAATCCCTTGTCATGTAGACGCCAAAGAGACAGTCAGCAAACACACATCACATGCAACACGGGGGACTTTTATTGCTCAAATATTTTCTTTAAATTTTTTGCCATTCCAGGGAGACAGAAGACATGTTATCTCCACAGCCGACTCCACCAATGGGTTGCTCACATCAGCATCCACTTCCACTGGGAGAGATCCACATCATTTCTGGGTATCCCCAGCTGTCTGTTGAATAAGTAAATGAGTATGTTGTTGGAGGACTGGTGGTGTTTTACTGGTTTTTTGGGCTCCATCTCGGACGCTTTCACAGGGGTCACGTTGGCGTGTGCCTCTGATTGTCCTTTATCCATGACTGCTCAACAGCAACGGCAACCTGCACAAAACAGCACAACTGAGAAATCCCGAAAGACATGAGGAAGGGAGACAATCATGTGGACCTGGGAGCTATATACTAACTGCCACCCCTTAGCAAACACAGAGATGCACAAACAAGACTGAAATGAACGTACCATTGCCACCAGTACTGTTCCAAAATTTTTTCTTTGGGGCATCCTGTGATTTGCCATACCCACATTGTCATTTCTCTCATTCTCTCTTCTACGCAAATCTAACACAGAATCCCTACTTTGTTGCACCGACACCTTTTCAGCTCCTGTTTCAAACGCTAAACGTGGAGTGCTTATCAAACTTATCTAGATTGACCAAAGAAACAATTGAACATCTGTCTGTTGGAATCTCACCCTATGTGAAAACTGTCTTCCCCTTGATCAAACCCTCCTTTATTCCAAGTGTGGTAGAAGCTGGACTTTGCTTTACTCCCTGCTTCTGTCAAGAACGCAGTTAAAGAGAATCCAGTACAGACATTTCGAAGGAAGTGAACTAACGCCATGAAGTAAGAGCTGATGGATGTCTTTAAGGTGTTGAAGAGTAAAGATCAAGGGCACCAAAGGCCACTGTGCATTAGGACAGGGCAGGAAGCATGCCATCACATCACCCATTCTGTCCTTAGTCCTCTGAGCTGGACGCCCGAAGTGGAAGCTGAGGAACACAACAGTGCTAAGAGCTTCACACCTGCACTACACACACATGTGCAGAGACCTGTATGAGTTCCCAGTCTCATTCCAGGAAAGGACAGACTCAGCTTCTCACCTCTGAGATGTGTAACTTGCTACCTGGTGTCTATGTCCAGTGCCCATCCTATTAGGTTTCCTCCTGGACAGGACATCTCTCTGTGATCCACAGGATGTTTTCCACTGTGACACCTGAGCAGGACACACTCACCAAGACATCTGGCAGTATTTGATTTCAGACACATGCCAAGGCTCAGGAAAAGTGTCCCTTGCGTTTGCCAGTTTGGGCCACAAGAGATATTACAGGACTTGCCTGAAGTCCTGCAGAGATGGGATTGGAGCTGACAGTGCCAGCATCTAAAGCCCCTGGTCCTGCCCACTTCTGGAAGGAGCCTGTCTGCCTCGTGTGAGCCAATGGCTGCCCCCTACCCTCTCTCCATCACCACACAGCAGTGGCCCTCCTCAGGTAAACTGGGGTGGCAGTGGCCCATGAAGTCACTGTGTAAGCTGGGTCTGTCAGGATCTCTTACCTCTCAGGTCACACAGGTGTCTTTCAAGGAACAATCTCGAGGACAGGGCAGGCAGAGCTGAAGGTCCCCTTCTCCGAGTCTCGATCTGTTCTGCTGAGTCGCAGGACGTGACTGGTTGGGCGGCAACGCTGTCATCATGACTCACGATGGAACTCAGAACCTCGGGAATGACCCAACTGCCACCGCCCCTCCCCCACTGTAACATCCATGGATCAAGGCTGGGTAGGGTGGGGGGAAGGGACTCAGAGGGAGCAGCCGTGGGCTATTCCTGTGCACCACCTGCACACGTATTCACTGCATAGGTCTCTGAGTAATCTTCGTCTCAGAGGCTCTGCCCGGCTCCGGCACTGCCCTGTGTTAACACTCAGGGTGAGGGGTGAACCCCACCCTGAAGTCTCCTCTGGCCCCCTGGGCAGGAACCAACAATTTAGACCTCCCATTCCAATCAGGAAGTTGGCCCCAAGTAGAATTTGAACTCACTTATTCAATCCCTCAACACAACTTTGCTCATGACTCCACACTACTGGACACTACTGTAACAGTGTAACAATCCTGTCAATGAGCTGTTTGCTTGCTACAGTGTGGCTGTGAACTGTCATACTCCTCACGCCTGGTGGCCTTCCCAGTGTCTGATCACAGCAAGTGCAGGATTAGCTTGGATGGGTCCCCCATGTGCGCTGTCTAGAGGCGGGACATGGAGCACTATGGGCTATCAGAGTACTGTTGGTGTGGACAGGGCTTTGTGTTCTATGCAGTTCTGTCTTCCTTCGGAAGTATAGGACTATGGTGTCGAGACATGGCATTCCCCTTGCTGGCCACCTCACTCTATATTTCATATTACACCTGAGGGGACTGAGTTGTAGATCTTTGTATAGGACCCAGGTTACAGAGCCCCTATCTTGATGACAAAGAAGGCTCAGTCCCCAGGTGTCTTCCTGTTGAACTGAACCTTGTAGGGATTTGTTGACACCTGGAGTCAATGTAAAACCAACCAATTCAGGAAGAGGAGGTCAGTGTCATGTGTTTTATTAAAAACACGAAGGGGCAAATTGTCTCCCTTATCAACGGATTATTTTCCTCACAGAATCATGGCAGTCACATATGAAATAGAGTAGGGCAGGTTGCTTGATATATGTCAACTGCAGAAAAAAATCTGCACACCATACTAATAAATATGAGCTATGGTGGAAATAAAATATGCATAAAATGATGACAAAATTAAAAAACTGCATATGTGATTAATAATAATTGCCAATATGCAAGGAACTTTTATGAGCTGCTTTTCTAACACTGACCCGATCTTCAAAATCTAATTTTTCCTGGTTTTGCAGAATTGTTTTATTTTTTATGATGAACAAATTTTGGCCAGCGCCACAGCTCACTAGGCTAATCCTCTGCCTGCGGCACTGGTACCCTGGGTTCTAGTCCCGGTTGGGGCGCTGGATTCTTTCCTGGTTGCTCCTCTTCCAGTCCAGCTCTCTGCTGTGGCCCAGGAAGGCAGAGGAGGATGGCCCAAGTGCTTGGGCCCTGCACCTGTATGGGAGACCAGGAGGAAGCACCTGGCTCCTGGCTTGGGATCGGAGCAGCACGCTGGTCATAGTGACCATTTGGGGGCGGTGAACCAACAGAAGGAAGACCTTTCTCTGTTTCTCTCTCTCTCTCATTGCCCAGACAATCCGGTCAACAAAAGAGATGAGCAAAGTTCGGGGTATTTTGGGGGTACGGTGGGAGGCAAAAAGAAAATGCTTCCCTCCCTCCAACCCACACATTCACCATCCCTACTCTTTATTTTCTTATTCTTTTAATTTGTATATGATGTATTTTAAGCTTATTTTATTCTCATAACATTAATCCTATACTAAGTGGAGAGTTCAGCAAATAGTAAGGAAAGAAAAACACTGTTCCTCAATAATAGAACCAAGGGCTGTAGCAATCATCGAAACTCAAGATGTCAGTTTCAGTCATCCCAGGCTGTCTTGATTGTAACTGCCCTGTAGCATGTCTTGAAATATGGTATTGTAATGCCTCCAGCTTTGGTTTTCTGTTTGTTTGTTTAAGATTGCTTTAGCTATTCGGGTTCTCTTGTGTTTTCCTATGAATTTTAGCATCATTATTTTCTAGATATGAGAAGAATGTCATTGGTATTTTTCTGGGATTGCATTTTTTCTGTAAATTGCTGTCAGTAGTGTATACATTTTGATTATATTAATTCTTAAATCCATTAACATGCAAGATTTTTCCTTTTTTGTGTGCCTTCTGTTTTTTTAATGTTTTATAATTTCCAATATAAATGTCTTTCACCTGTTGAAATCTTTACTTAATATATGCTAAACTGATCTTCTGTATAAAAGAGAATTGAAAATGAATCTTGATGTGACTGGAAGGGGGGAGGGAGAGGGAAAGGGGAGGGTTGCGGGTGAGAGGGAAGTTATGGGGGGGGGCATTGTAATCCATAAGCTGTACTTTGGAAATTTATATTCATTAAATAAAAGTTAAAAAAAAAGAAAAGAAAAAACAAAAAAAAAACATAACAAAAAAACTTTGTGTTCGTTGACAAAAAAATTTATTCCCAAGGTATGTAAATTTTTTGAGGCTATTGTGAATGGGATTGATCTTCGAAGTTCTTTCTCAGCCATGGCATTGTCTGTGTATATAAAGGCTATTGATTCTAGATTGTTAATTTTATATTCTACAACTTTCCCAAACTCTCTCATGAGTTCCATTAGTCTCTTAGTTAAGTTTTTTGTTCCCCTATGTATAGAAACATGTCCTCTACAAACAGGGGTAGTTTGAATTACTCTTTTCCAATTTGTATCCCTTTGATTTTTTTCTTGCCTATTGGCTCTCGACCAAACTTCCAGGACTATATAGAACAGTAGTGGTGAAAGGGAGCATCCTTGTCTGATTCTGGACCTTCGTGGAAATGCTTCCAACTTTTCTCCATTCAATAATATGGTGGCTCTGGGTTTGTCATAAATTGCCTTGATTGTGTTGAGAAATGTTCCTGCTATACCAAAGTAAAGATGATGTATATTATCAAATGCTTTATCTGAATCAATGAGATTATCTTACGGCTTTTGTTTTTCAGTTTGTTAATATAATGCATCATATTTTTTGATTTTCATCTGTAGAGCCATCCCTGCTTACCAGGGATAAATCCCACTAGAACTGATGAATAATCTTTCTGGTGTGTTATTGGATTCAATTATCTAGTATTTCCGCATCTATTTTCCTCAGGGATAATGGCCTATAGTTCTTTCTCATTTTTTTTTCTGGTTTTGAAATTAATATATTGCTGGCCTCATAGAAGGAGTCTGGGAGGATTCTCTCCCTTTCCATTGCTTTGAATACCTTGAGAAGAATTGGAATTAGCTCTTTTTTAAAAAATATTTTATTTATTTATTTATTTGACAGGTAGAGTAACAGACAGTGAGAGAGAGAAACAGAGAGAAAGGTCTTCCTTCCGTTTGTTCACTCCCCAAATGGCTACAATGGCCGGAGCTGCACCTTTCTGAAGCCAGGAGCCAGGAGCTTCTTCCAGGTCTCTCTTGCGGGTGCAGGGGCCCATGGACTTGGGCCATCCTCCACTGTCTTCCCAGGCCAAAGCAGAGAGCTGGATGGGATGAGAAGCTGCTGGGATTAGACCCAGCACCCATATGGGATGTGAGTGCTGCAGGCAGAGGATTAACCTACTGTGCCACTGCACTGACCCCTGGAATTAGTTATTCTTTCAATGTCTGGTAGAATTTAACAGTGAAGTCACCCAGTGTTGGGTTTTCTTGTTGGGAGGATCTTTATTACTGTTTCTATCTCTGTCTTGTATTGGTCTGTTCATGGTTTCTATGTCTTCATGATTCAATTTTGGTAGATTCTATGTGTCTAAACATCTATCCATTTCTTCTAGATTTTTCAATTTTTTGGCATATAGCTGTTTGTAGTCATTCCTGATCATTTTTATTTCAGTGCTATCTGTTGTTACAGCTTCTTTTTACTCTCCAATTTTATTAATTTCACTCTTCTCAGCTTTTTGGTTAGTAGGGCCAATAGTGTATCAAATTTCTGAAATACCCAGCTCTTCATTTCACTGATCTGTCTTATTTTATTTTATTTTATTTTATTTTATGTGTTTTCAATATTAATTATTTGTTTTCTCCAACTAATTTTGGATTTCATTTGTTGTTGTTTTTCTAGGTCCTTGAAATGCATTGATAGTTTCCCTTGGAGTCATGTAGTCCCATTTCACATAATCTGTCACATGTGTGCTTGACCTGTTCACACTTTGTGATTGAGATCCTTGATTACTAATCATTTTCAGAAGTAACTCAGGATAAGGACAAGAGGATATCTCCTCCAGGGATTCACTTTAAATGAGGGTGGATTTTTTTTACAATGCTTCTAAATTTTACACCACAGACTGGACTCCTTGCAGATTTATGCAATAATCATATTTATAGCATCTATGATTGACAAAGTATTGGCCAGCTCAGCCTATGGGCCTCTCCCAGGTGGCAAGTGAAACCAGAAGTAATTGTGAAGAAGAGCCACATGAATCGGTGTTTCCCTATGTAGGATGAGGAAAAGGGTGTGAGGCAGAGGACAGCCTGCCTTTTCAATTCCCTGTACCATCATTCTCAAGATGGTGTTGAAAGGCCTTCCCAGAATGTTCAGGGATGGAAACTACCCACACAAGCAAGGACAATCGTGAGCATGGCAGACAAACTCTTCACTATAGACCCAGTTTCTAGAACTGGTTCATTTCACTAAGCAGTGATAGCTTTTTCTGTGCATAATTTATGCTCATCTGTACAGTGTGGGTGACAATGGTACAGAACTTTTGAATTTCATTCAGTGTGCTGTTATAAGAAGCACTTAATTTTGATGTTTTTTCAGTCAAAGTTTTTATCTGAATTTCTATCCTGTTGGAAACTCTTGCACTACTAGCAGGATGCAGGAGGATGGACTGAAGGGGACTGGTTAAAGAAATTTTAGGAAGGTGAGATTGTGAATGTGCTGCTAATGTGTCTTTCTCCTGGTGTAAAACATACATGTGAAGGTAACTACAATCCAGTGCTAGGTACAGAGAAGGGAGAGAGATGTTGTTCAAAGAACAAGAGGCAG